GAAGAGAGAGAAGAGAGAGAAGAGAGAGAAGAGAGAGAAAGAGAAGAGAGAGAAGAGAGAGAAGAGAGAGAAGAGAGAGAAGAGAGAGAAGAGGGAGAAGAGGGAGAAGAGGGAGAAGAGGGAGAAGAGGGAGAGGAGGGAGAGGAGGGAGAGGAGGGCGAAGAGAGGGAAGAGAGAGAAGAGAGAGAGAGAGAGAAGAGAGAGAAGAGAGAGAAGAGAGAGAAGAGAGAGAAGAGAGAGAAGAGAGAGAAGAGAGAGAAGAGAGAGAAGAGAGAGAAGAGAGAGCGAGAGAAAAAACAGAGCGAAGAGAAGCGAGAGCGAGAGAAAAGAGAGCGAGAGAAACGAGAGCGAGAGAGCTGCATTGCCACGGTGAAGGCCCTGTGGTGGCTGGCGTGGTGGGCTCCAAGCTGCCTCGCTATCGGCTCTTTGGAGATACGCCCCCTGGCTCCTCAGGGCAGCTCGAGGATTTGAGACAGAGGGATTTGCGCAGCAGGGGGGGGGCTGCTACTAGGGATCGTAAAGTAAAAGACTTCGAAGGGCATCGTCTTTGTTCTCATAAGTATGGCCCGGAAGTGATTGTTGAATCTCTTTCTATGCACCAAGTGCCTGTCAGACATGCAGAACACATGTGGACACACTGAGGCTACGACGGCATAGAAAAGCTTGCCTGCGTAAACCCCAAGCAGTGAGAGTAGGTGAGAGCTCGAGTTGGCACTTAACACCTCCCTGGTCCTCTGTGGTCCTTTGGCTTCGCACTCCGGCATCCACACTCAGTTTGGATCGCCTGCAGACCTCCGTTTCAAGCCTCCTGCTACACTCCATTGCAACCCCATTGCAACCCTCGACCCGATTGAAGCCCGAAGCAATCCAAGCAATCCCTCAGAGTGGCCAAGCCCGATGCCTACGAAAGCCTCACGTGAGCCCGACACCCCGCCTGTCTTTCAACAAATGGTGCTTTGCCACACAAGGATCAATACAGCAGCGCGCATGATGCAGAAAGGCCTGCCTGGAGAGGTCCAGCCTTTTGTCCCGATTTTTTTCACGATGGGAATGGTATGGAATGGTGTTGCCCCAGGCTAGTTTAGAGTTCGGCTTGCAGAGTGGTTCGCAATCTGCAGCCGGATTGTAGCCATGGGATGGCCTAGCACTAAACAGAGTTCTGCGCCTTGGGCAACTTGCCGACGTTTCTGGCTGCCTAGGTTTGGTGAAGCCACGAAGGCCGTCCTTCCGGAAAGCGCCGCTAGATGCCACATTATGCACTTGCCACCATTTGCCCGGTCAGAAACTTCAGGGCTCAGTCGTGGCGAGTGCGCCTCCTAGCTGGTAGTTGTCAGTACAGTCTTTCTTGCCGCGTGTGTTTGAGAGAGCAAACTATTTCAACCCTGAAGCCGAAAACACCCCATCCCGAAACATCCTAGATGGAAACTTTCAGGAGCGCTATCCCCACAAAAGAGCAAAGCACCCTCCGACGCAGCACCGATGCTCCAAGGTCCAGTATCACTCTCGGGGTCCTGTGGAGATGAAAGGCAGCTTGGCAGGGAGGCTTGAGGACCCCACAACCCCAAACTTAAGCCTGAAGTTTTGTTTGGTAGAGTTTGTTGTTGAGTGCCCACAATATGTTGATGAAGATGGCTGTGACGATGTTATGGCTGGTTTACTTGTCCTCACGCGGCAGCCTTGAGATGCGGAGTTTGAATATGTCCATTCAGAAGGTTGCAAGAATGTTCGTTTCTTCAGGTTTTTGACAAGAGCTTGGGACAAGGCACAAATCGGGCTCAGGCCGTAGGTTTGGAAGACCAATGGACCCCAAAAGCATAAGCATGGTCATCTCGCATGCCCTGTATGGCATTGCAACCGGATTTTCGGAAGAGGGCTTGAGTGTGTGCAATCTGCATTTGGGCAGCTGTAGTCGTAGCTTTAGTCGTGGTGGTGCTAGTAGTGATGTGGTGGTGGTGGTGGTAGTGGTAGAAGTGGCAGTAGTGGTAGCAGTGGTAGTAGTGGTAGTAGTGGTAGAAGTATTGGTAGCAGAAGTGGTAGTAGTAGGCAGCAGTAGCAGTAGCAGCAGTGGTAGTGGTAGTGGTAGTGGTAGTGGTAGTGGTAGTGGTAGTGGTAGTGGTAGTGGTAGTGGTAGTAGTAGTAGTAGTAGTAGTAGTAGTAGTAGTAGTAGTAGTAGTAGTAGTAGTAGTAGTAGTAGTAGCAGCAGCAGCAGGAGTAGGAGGAGTAGTAGTAGTAGTAGTAGTAGTAGTAGTAGTAGTAGTAGTAGTAGTAGTAGTAGTAGTAGTAGTAGTAGTAGTAGTAGTAGTAGTAGTAGTAGTAGTACGGTTCAACCCTATGGTTTGCCCGCGCTTGTTTTTGGAAGGTACATAAAACATTCGCAGGCGCAGCGTTTCTGGCCTTTGCCGGCCTTTCAACAGTGTTCTTTTTTTCGTTTTTTTTCTTCATAAACGACGACCCTCTGCGGGTTTCCCTGCGTTCCGGACTTCGCAGAACCCTATGGTTTGCCCGCGCGCGCGTCTTACGGTTTGGGCTTTGGAGTGTTTCAGGCACGAG